AAGTACACCAGAAACACCCCACATTTTATTAATATTGTTGTCTATACACATACATCTTCTCTTTGTGCAGAACATGGCTGCTGACACTTCGCTGGCAACTTCTATAATACAAAATTCATTGAATCTGCATTTCTACATGCAAATAAAATTTTACATAAATACTTCCTTTCACTGCTGAGACACTTTTTTAACTTCTCAGCAAAAACCTTCTTTATGGCATTTTCACAAGTTCATGAACCCCTGTTCTGAAGAATCAACTCTTAGGGCAACCAATTTGAAGCTTTTCACCTTAAAAAGCAAAAAAAAAAAAAATCAAACCTTTCTCAATAAAATAAGAACTGAGACTGATCTTTAACAGAGAAAGCTGATTAATCTTCTTTTGATGGAGAAATCTTTAGAGAAATCAATGGAAGTAAATCATCAAAGTCCTAAATCAAATGATGGTGAGCAGATTAAGTTAGTTCCAGTACTTGTACCCTCATCATTCTGTGCTGCAGCTTGAGATTTCCCAAATGATAATTCTGATCTGCATCTTAAAATCTTTGTAGCCTGTGCCTCAACCTCATCTAAATCGAGATCCCGATAGAAATCATCATCATGCAAAAGATTATCATCGAATTGAGCGAGTTCCGACTGATTTTTGCGCTGCAGCGCAGAGTTTGAGTTCTCATATCGTATGGTATCGGAAGGTTGAAAGATCAGCTTTCTTTTTCTGTTCTCTAACTTACTGGAAAATTTCGATGAGCAGTTACTTGCTTCACCAGGGACAAGAGTTACTGATGCAATGTTACAAATCACCGAATATTTATCGTCCGGCGGATTGACGGAAAATAAACCGTCCTTAGGAGTCCCCGTAAGTTCGTGTTTTTTGTTAGGCGAACAGCTTCGAGCTGTTTCTGAAGAAAAAGACTCATGTGATGTACGCAAACATATTTCTGGGAGTAACATAGGTGACTGGGTAAGCAGAGAGCGTCTGCATGGGTTAATTATAGCATTATTAACCAAGCTTTATAAGAAATTAGAATATTTGCATAATATGGCAATTTGACGAAGCTAAATCTTAAATAAACTTTAATGATGAAGGCAAAATTTTAATAAATTTCATAACATGCATCATATTTATAAGACCTCAAATCAAGGATATTAGCTCCCAACTTAAAGCTAAGCGGGGCTGTATGCATATGATTAAATTTTTTTTAGAGTTACATACGATTAAAATGAGATTTCTGTGTGAGGGATTGAAAATGAATTAAGTGATTTGGAGTACTCATACATGAACTATAAAATGAGATATGTCTCAAGTTTCGTTTGTGAAAGCTTGAAAATGAGTTGGGTGATTTTGCATTGAGTTGGTAGCTATATAAGTT